GGCAACTACAAATTGACATTAATTTTAGATTTGATAACACTTTTTTTCATCTTTGCAAAGTTTCTTTTTTATTTTATATAATTAAAAATTTGTGTCAATTTTTGATATCATGTTTTTTATAGAAATAATGAAACGACTTTTCAAATAAAAATGAACTATAAAAAAAAATATATTTCAATGTAAAGTTCTTTTTATTTTATTAAATTAGAAGTTGACGCCAGTTCTTCATATCACATCTTTTGTACTACCAATATGAAATTTATTATTAAAAAGACTTTTATAAATGGAAATGTTTGTCGAAAATTCTTTCTTTTACATAAATAAGAAAATGGGCGCGTGAACTTGGCATTATTTTTTACCTTTTTTAAAAGGAATTTTATTAAGATATATCACTCATTTTTTTAGTAACAAATAATATCTATTATTTAGCATATTTGAAACATTTTTATACTTTATATATACTAGAAAAAACAATCAGTCATTATTTTTTAATAATCTTTTGTAAAAAAAAATTTATATACATTTTTTGCTCCTCTAGGCTATTTTTTCTTGTTAATTTGCGCATCATCAATGTCTATCCATTCATTAAACATTTAATTAATGGTTCCTAAAGTGCAAATATATTTATCAATCTTTTCTTTCAATAAATTAACAGAAACAAAATCTTCGTGTACAGGAGGTAATTGAAAAAGATCTTCAAATAAAAGAATTTGTTTTTGACCAAACCAGCCATCATTACATTCAGTAGTGTCATATATTTTGGATAATCGAAGATGTATGTATATACATTAAAATTTAATTAGATATCATTGATATTTCATCTATTATAAAAAGTATAACATTATTTAAATCCGCTCGTAGAACTTTCAATACATGATTAGATAATTGTTTATATTTAGAAGTATGAGGAATATAAGCATTCAACAGATAATTGGAACAATCTGTGAATTGTCAAACCATTTATATTAAATGCTGCAATACCTGTAAGTGCTACTACAGCAGTTTTTTTATTAAGATTTTGTTTTATCCAACATTTATTAGTAATTAGAAAACTTTTATTATCTTAATTAGAAAACTTTTATTATCTTAATTAGAAAACTTTTATTATCTTAATTAGAAAACTTTTATTATCTTAATTAGAAAACTTTTATTATCTTAATTAGAAAACTTTTATTATCTTAATTAGAAAACTTTTTCCAGTATTTTTTCCACCTTTATCGCTAACATATAATCCTAATATTGATTTATTTAATTTAATAGTGCTAATAACTCTATCAAATATTCTCTTTTGATCCGTGTTTAATTTTTGTATGTTTGTATGTTATGTTTATTGATGTATATGTTTATTCAGCTTCAAGACGTAATAAAAAAAAATAAAATTGATTCTAATTCTATTTCTATTTCTATTTCTATTATTCTATTTCTTCAATGTATTATATGTTACAATATTACTTACTATTATATATGATACACGTTATATCTTCTTTTCTTTTTTTATTAATCAATACGTACACCTTCACATGAAGGACATCTGCAGCGCTCATTTTTTTTATTTGATATGTCAAAGACATATCAAATAAAAAAAATGAGCGCTGCAAGAGCTGTCATACAGAGATGTTCATTAGCGCCTCTTGCGACAGAAAAAGGAGAGTCACGGTCGATGACTAGGACGTTTCTTAAATTTTCCAATTTGAACTTGCGTCATGATTGCGTCACGATTGCGATATCTCAGTTTGTAGAACACGGAGAAAAAAAATCAAAACACTTTTCTTATATAACTTGATACTCAGCTATCGATTAAGCGTAGTTAAAACTTAATCGATGCAGTCATTGCTGAGATATGAAAATGCAGACCGAGTTCATCCTGGGGTCTTGCATAAATAGAGCCACGCGTCTCGCCGCCGTTCTACGCGAACTTCACTGCGCGTGAACTTGGCGTCGAAACACCACCTGTGTTTCTTGATCCTCTTTACGGGTGTTTAGCGTTAAAGTCTCCGCCCGCTATGAATCGATGTTCTAATGTCTAAAAGAATTGTGAAAACTGGTTTTCCTTTATGGTATCTTTCGGAGGACAATATAGCTAAGATTGTGATCAGATCGTCCCCGTTCTGTATTACCACGTTGGTGGCTTGGATATGATTATACTGAACTTTGTCTGTTTTATAGTATTTAATGTTATTCTTGATGATAACAATTATATGCTCCGTGAGCTGTACCATCAGGATGCATAGTGTGATATATAAAGTAATTATATATCTTCAGAAAGTTTTTTCCAGTGAAATGGGTTTTTGAGATAAGCATGATATCTATGAGAGCGGTTTGAAAAATCCGCAAAGTCAGAAAGATAGCACCACTGATGTGCATCGAGGCATCGATTATTTTCAGTTAGTAGCATCTCTTGGAAGAACACACGTTTCAACCAGATTGATCTATTTCTTTGTATTTGGCGTTCGTCTGAATCGAGAAAGTCGAGTGATTTCTGAAAAATGGATGAAAGAGAATTTCGTGTGTTGATCAAGCATTACTTTATGAAAGGCAAATCGCATCAGGAAACTAAAAAGAATCTTGATAAACATTATGATGAATCTGCACTTTCGATTAGAACAGTTTATAAATGGTTTCAAACGTTTCAGAGTAGCCTTATGAGTACAAGTGACGCTGAACTTTCTGGATGCTTGTTGCGGCTACTATTCCAGAAATCATTAATAAAATCCATGATATGATAATGGATGATAGAAGAATTAAGATGCGTGAGATTGCTAGTGTTATGGGCATCTCAAATAAACAGGTACATAATATTTTGCATCAACATTTGGATATGAAAAAGTTATCTGCAAGATGGGTGCGGCGATCACTCACAATTGACCAAAAACGAAATCGTGTGAAGGAATGTTTGCAGCGGTTCCAGCGGAATCCACAGGACTTTAGGCGTCGTTTCGTCACTGTGAACGAAACATGGATACATCACTACACATCTGAGACCAAAGAATAGTCCAAACAATGGGTTGCCAGTGGGGAATTTGCACCAAAGAAGGCGAAGACCATTCCTTCGGCCGGGAAGATTATAGTGAATGTCTTTTGGGATTCGTAAGGAATAATATTCATCGATTATATGGAAAATGGCAAAACTATTACAGGTGAATATTATTTATTGAATTGTTTGAAAACCGAGCTGCAAGAAAAACGTCTATAATTGAATCACAAGAAAGGCTTTTTCCATCACGACAACGCACCAGCTCACTCCTCCGGAGTTGTGGCCACAAAATTGATAGAGTTATGGTTCCAATTCGTCCCACATTCCCCCTATTCTCCAGATTTGGCTCTCTCGGATTATTACTTATTCCTCAATGCGAGGAAATGGCTAGCAGGAAGGAAATTTCATTCAAAGGAGGAGGTGATTGCAGAAACAAATGCCTATTTTGCACAGTTAGACCAATCATATTATTCGGAAGGGATCAACAAACTGGAGCAGCATTGGACGAAGTGTATAAACCTAAAAGAAGACTACATTGAAAAAAGGTTTATCCCGAAAAATTAAATAGTTTTCATTTTTGCACGGACTTTTCAAACCACCCTCGTATTTTGTAAGTTGTAATAAAAGTTTCTTGCCTATGTTGAGATAAGTCGTTGACGTTCCAGATGGCTATTTTATACCGCTCGTATGTTATTTTATTTTAGCGACAAACGTTGTTAATAGGTTAACAATCCATCATATGCTCATTTGTTCCATGAGATCCTTTATCATACTTTTGAGTTCAGCGGTATCATTTGCTTGATGGAGGTTGCTATGTTGGAGTTCATTGGTCGATTGATGTTGCCGCGATCCTTGTGCTAACGCTTGAGCATATGAGGTCTTAGTATGCAGAGGGCTAATTGATTGCCGAAGTTGAGGTACCCTCGTCTTTTCTTAATTAATGATTTTTAAACACGTTTTTTTTTTTGTAAAAAAATGTTTTCGACAAAAAACATTTGTATAACTTTTATGAGAGGATAATGTAAGAATCTTGATTTATTATTTATTATTGCTGAAATTATCAGAATCATATGAAAATATGGAGCTCTTTTAAATAAAATCTTTTTATAATTTTTTTATTTTATTATTTTATTTATTTTTATATCTAATGTAAAGTAATGTTTTTTTATAATCTTTTTAAATTTTCTATTTTAGTCCAGATATTTTATAATTAAAGATATTAATTGTTGTTAATTGTTATGAATTTTTTTACATTGAATTTTTGAAAAATTATTAAAAATAGAAATTTTTGGAAAATATGTTTACCTTAAGAAATTCAAACTTTGTTATTTATTTAATCTTTAATGATATTGTAAGTAAAAATTATAATTTTTCTCTTTAGTTTTGTCAAAATTGTGTACAGGAATTTTTTTTTATTATTTGTTTTATTATTATTGGACATAGATTTTCAGGTTTTAATATTATTTGAGAATGTTTAATAATAATTTGTTAATTAACTTTATTCCTAAAATTTCTGTTTATAAAATAAGTAAATTCGCGACTACATATAGTCAGACAAAATTTAAGCGTTATTACATTTAATAACGCTACACATAAAATTTTACCTGACCATATATATTAGCCACGAATTTACTTATTATCTGATTGACACGCTAATTTAAATGTATTTAATCTATCTGAAACCAATAGAAATTATTGATATGATTATTAAATGTAACAAATTTACAAATTTACAATTTGAAAATGCTAGAAGAAACTGCCCATAAATATATAATCGATACCAATTTCCGATACATCATATAATATATTAATAAACAATAATAAGAAATTCCTCGGCCAGTCTTGGTTGCTAAATCTTAATATGAAATTCAAGTAATTATATTACTAACTATGTGCCACTTAGTTTTAGTCATAGACATATGAAATATATAGACCGAGCCTTAGTACAAGGAGTAACTGATATTTGCGGTAAGAGGGCACTCGTCTGATCTCGATTATTTTTGTAAGTTCTCTAATATATTCGGCTTCTCACGTGACTGTCATATTGTAATTAGTGATTCTTAAACTAACTGTGATACATAAAAATATTTTAAACTAATTAATAATGAAACATGCTGCTTTTGTTATTTTATATAAAATATTTTCTGTTGTTTTTTAAGACGAAATAGTTTTTGTAACTTATATATATATATTTTTTTTTATTAAATAAACTAAATGGCACGTAATTGTAATATAATTATTTAAATTTATTTTATATTAGGAGAGATTTAGCAATCAAGACCCTGCTTGCCAAAGAATTGACTATGTTTCTCATTGTTGTTTATTAACATGTACTCAGCTTATATCAGTGTATAATCTATAATATATTAAGTATTATTGTACTCCGGAACTGGGCTGCAATGTTATTAGAGATAGTCGGGTTCGCCAAGCCTAAGGAGTTGGAACTTCGAACAGATCAAAAAGATGTAGGGATCTTCTTGAAAGCACTGACACACTTTTCTTCAAAACTGATTGATTTATTTTAACAAAGGCACAAACTGATAATGTTACAACTGCTATATTTTTCACATACGATTAAACATCGTCGAGTGGCTCGGCGCGTCTCGTGATACTCTGGCGACCGACGATCGGGTATGGACGACACTTGAGATACTGATTTGATATTGTGGCTCGCGTGAATTTAGCGACGGATTTCGGTAATATCTCGCGCGACTTCTTATGATTTATGATTTTGACTCCGAACGACTCCGCGCATGACTCCGCTTATATAGAAATAATCGATGCCTGATCAGCATTCTGATCGGTAAATTAAGGAATTTGCTGATCGACTTTTTTCGCAATCGCATTTTATACGACGCGTTCCTGCGGTCTTTCGAAAAATCGCAGCTTTTGCTGGTTTGCGCTTCTTTCGAAAGACTTCTTGAATTTGCTGTTGCCATACGGATTGCTAATATGTCTGATTGTAGATGTGGCTATTATCTTAAGAATATTAAGTGTAATCTTAAGAAA